AGATTATAATAAGTTAGTGTAGTGTTGTTAAAAAATACTTTTCCTCCTCCTGATTCGGCCTTATTTCAAATCCTCTGGTAAACCTAAAAAAAAAAAAAAACAATATTGGCTAGAAGATTGGTAATGAAAAATAAAAAAAAAAAAAAATGAAAAATGAAAAAAAATATAAAAACAAATGATAGAAAATAAAAATAGAGTAAACTGATAAAATACAGTATCCAAAGATCTGCAAAGATCATTACTTTTAAATTATTTGCACAGATCTGTTTTTAATTGTTAACAAAAACTGCAAAGATTTTTAAAGTCTGAACTTTGTAGTTTTTTTATTAGAGTTCTGCGACGATTTGATAATTTTAATGATCTTTGCAGATTATAATTAGTTTTACTTTCCTGATGGCCGTCTATTTAATCTTGTTAAATTATTTTTTTGGCGGAGGTTTGTATTGGGATTAGATTCTGAAGACCCTCTTAACAATCTTTTATTCTTCAATCAAGAAAGCCCAGATGATATAGTTTTTCACATATTTAGCACAATGACTACCACTATAAGTTTAGCATATTGGCATAGTCAGAGACCTAGAATTCCTGAAAGCCTGCATCAACAATCATCACAGTAAGAACCTTTAGCAGGTTTCTTTTTATATAGCCAAGTAAGTTTGCTACCAGGAGTTTTGATTACTCTGGTTATATTAGATCTGATATTATAGCTTAAGCGGCATCTATATATTAGATATTGTACTATTGCGAATTATATTGCTAAAATTTCATGTAGCAAGAATCTAATTCAAAAAAAAAAAAACTGTAGCAATAAAAAGATTTTAATATTTTTTGAGCAGAGGTTTGAATTGGAATTAGATTTTGAGAACCCTCTTAACAACCTTTTGTTCTTCAATTAAGAAAGCCTGGATGATATAGTCTCTTACATATTTAGCACAATGACTACCATCTAAGCTTGTCAAACTGTCTTCTGATATTTAGAAATTCATGCATATTGGCATGGTCAGAAAGCTAGAATTCCTGGAAGCCTACACTCACAATTATCACAGTGAGAACCTTTAGCAGATTTTTTTTTGTATAGCCAAGTAAGTTTGTCACCAGGAGTTTTGATTACTCTGGTTCTATTAGATCTGGTATTATAGCTCAAGCAGCGCCTATATATTAGACATTGTGCTATTGTGAATTATATTGCTGAAAATTTCATGTGAATAAAAATATTCATTTGTGAAAGATCCTAATTTAAATATATAGAAGATATATGTATATGTTATTGTTCATAAAAGTGGGTAATAACTAAAAATTATACTCAGATCTGATGATCAGATAATAACAGAATGGCTACTGGCTGCGAAACAGCCAGTGTGCTATTTTGTTATTATTCGATTATCACATCTGAGTTTAATTTTTAGTTATTCCTACTTCGTGGATAATAACTGATTTATTTCCAGATTCTTTTTATACCTCTATACTATCTTTTCAAATTAGAGTTACACATTTCATAAAGTTTGACTTTCTACAATTATAAAACTTCTTTCATTTTCTTCTATTTCTTTTTTACTTTTTTTTTTAACCAACAACTTTTATTTTTCATTAGTAATGTTAATATTAATAGTTTCAAATTTCATATATTATTAAAAAATAAAAAAAGATATAAAATCAAAAAGAAATATAAAAACTTTGGATCAGCCTGAATCTA